ACGACCTGGTAAGATATGTAGGAAGTCGATGGATGCAGGTGGCTCAGGACCGTGCTTTGTGGCATTACTTGGGGGAGGCCTATGTTCAGCAGTGGACTTGTGAAGGGCTGTGATGATGATGATGATCTATATTTTGATTATTATTCAAAGATAGATGTAGATGTCTATGGGCCGCAGCATCCACTTGCATCACTGTGGAATGTGTGATCGCTTATTATCCTTCATTTATTAAAAAAGAAATACAGGGGAAAAGTTGTTAGAAACTGGAAAATGTATCTAAATATATAATTTTGTTAGTTTCTCCGACAGATTGCCTCACGATGTTTTCCTTTACCGTCGAGCATGTGGTTAATTATCACTTCAAATCGCAAATAACAATTTAATTGATATTGGAGGTGATCGAAATCGGAAACAACCAACCTCTGCAATTTTACTGCACACTTATTCTTCTTCCTCAACAGTTCATAAGTCTTCATAGGTGGAGATGAGTCTCTTCTTACTGGATAATATCACTGGATAACTTCATACGAGATTCAATTACGTATCATAAAAGGCGACAGATAACAGTTATATACTCAGGTATCGGTATGTGTCTGCCTGGGAAAGGGTCCTATTGTTGATGGGCATAGGTAAGTCTATGCCCTCAGAGTTAGTAGCCCTTCCCCTTTCGACATAGAGGAGTACGCACTTATCCGTATCCAGCTCCATTCTGATGGAATTGCTGAATTCACAAGTGATGTTCAGCAGTTTCATAAGATGGGAGCGACTGGAGGTGAACAACTTGGGATCATCCATATAGACATGGTGGATCACTTTTATTCCCTACAAAGCTGAAATCCCTTCCCAGAGCCCTCCAGTAAGGTACTGAGTGGATACGGAGAGAGAGACATAACTAGATTAAACTGAGAAAATCGTCCTGGATGATAACCCTTAAGAGTGCCTTGAATATATCGAGAAAAGAATTAACCGAAAACATCCCTGCAGAGTTTTAGGGCAAAATAGTGTATGTCGCTCTGTAGGACAGCGCGACAGATACTTTGAATTTCAAATTCATGTTGAAAATCTTTAGATAGGTTTGAAATTTTTATTTTCAGACATGCAAATTTCCTTATAATGTTTCCTTCACTGCCTATAACGTGGTAAATCAGTGCCTAAAATTGTATTTTAACAATATTGCTAGCGCCGGCGAGGATTGAAATAGGGTTACTCGCCCAGTCTGGTGCTACTATGTCTCTAGTTGCTCTATACTTATTCAACTTGTGAAATCAGGAGGGCGTGGAAAATGTCAGTTACATTCGAAATCATCTAGGAATTTTCTAATTTGACATAAGCGAGACGGCTAAAATTCCATTTATTTCTCTGACATTTCCCATAGTTTATTTACTCTTATAACTCGTTCGGGAAGTATTAGGTTAGTGGTTCCTCTTACGTTGCCACTATAAAACCCTATACTTAACCATTTATTTGCAAGACCTTTATATTTAACTTCCAGATAGGTGCTTTAATTTTTTTTAAGTTTCGATGATAATTTCATATCGGTGACATTTTCACAAATATTTATAGTAACGCCATTTGCATTTAATTAAGTGTTTAAATAAGTATTAAACGATAGAAAAAATTAAAAAGTATTATTCAACTTATTTGCAATTAGAAAATCTTTTTGAAAGTGCAAAAAATAGTAACTTATCTAAAATCACATTACCTAAATAAAAGCTCATGTAAATGAAGAAATTAATTATTTCTAAAGCTTTCATATTCATTCAGTTCAATGACTTTTCTTTAGGTGTCTCAAAAGGTGAAATTGTGAACGTAATATTGAATTTTATGTGTGAGTTTCGTAGTGACCGACAAGTACTTTTGTGTGAGAGGATGAGAAAACATACGGGGCGCAGATTAGAATAAATATTAATCTATAAACAAACATTTGTAACATTTAAAATGACAAAAGCTGATACCTACGGCGTTTCCTCGACGTTTTTCCACGATCAGAGATAAGACTATCGAACGACTGAAAACTTTTTTAAAAATATGACGTTTTAAAACGTAAGTATTTATTTCTTTATTTTGTAATTTATTTTTTAATTTATAGATAAAATATTCAAATCGGTTTGAGACAACTGTTCAGGTTAGAGATATCTGCTAATGTAAGCACCAATTTAATGAAATAAAATTTACTAAACGAGAAGCAAATCTTGTATATAATTAAATAAAACTATTTTTTACGAATTTTATCGCGTATATTAACTAATTTTACATTCCCGAACACTTACATCACCCGCGTAGTTCCCCCCGTGACCATGGCACAGAGTAAATAATAGTACTACTTACAAAAGTTGCACTCCTTTGATATCGACCGCTTGCCGACGTTTAATAGCCTACATAATTATTATTAATTGGATAAATCGCGCACGCAAGCTAAATAAAACTTTATCGCTGCACGTCTGTATCCCTATTATTTTGCATCTTTTCCGCTTCTTAAGTCACGGCGCACTTTCGTGGTAATAATGGGATGTCAACAGAAAGTAAAAATATATTGCGAAATGTTACTTAAGTTACTTAGGTGAAGTACCTATTCTGATGATTTCTTATATTTACGCGAACACTACACATTGAAATAATACTAGTTTTACGGAATTTATCGCGTATATTTAACTTTTTAAATACCCGACGTTTCGAATGCTTTACAGCACTCATGGTCACGGGCAGAACTGAGATGTTCAACGTCTATATGTCATAGTTAACCGCGGTTACCATAGATTAAAATTTAACTTTTGTTCCGATCTATGCAGTATGAACTTATGGTATCTTGAAGTCTTGCAGTTGTATGCTTGGGTTAGGATTTAATTTTATTTATTATAGGATCCCAAGCTGATGGTAGCACCCAGCCATCTTCTCTATTAAAATTAGGATGTTTTTTGATTTCAATAGCCTCGCGAATCATCCTTGGAAGGAATCGGTGTTCTTTAGCGAGGATCTGCGGTCTATCAAATCTGATGTAGTGACGGGGGCGATCCTGTACGTGTTCACAGACTGCAGACTTCCCGGAGCGTCGATTCTTCACATCAGCTATATGTTCTTTAACGCGGGTTTTTATTGATCTTTTAGTTTGTCCTATGTAGGAAAGACCACATTCACAATCAAGCTTGTACACCCCTGCATCTTGCAGAGGGACATTACACTTGACCGATGGTAAAAACTGACCAATCTTCTTCAGCGGCTTGAAGTATGTTTTGATGGAAGCGCACTTCAAGATGTAGCCAATCTTGTCAGTGACTCCTCTAACATATGGCAGTACAGCAGGTACACGCTCGACTGTGGCCGGCTTCACTCGTTCACTGTGACGTAGGCGCGGGACTCGAAGCTTGTTGTCATGCAAAACTTGCTTGACATGGTGGAGCTCTGCAGCCAGGTGCTTACTGTCACAGATCCCTCGTGCTCTCTGAAACAAAGATTTACCCACGGTAGCTAACTGTGAAGGATGGTGGTAAGAATCACCGTTTAAATATCTATCTGTATGGGTCTTTTTTCTATACACAGTATGGCTCAAGGTGTTATCAGGATTCCGAATTACTAACACATCTAGAAAAGCTAAGGAATTGTTTGCCTCTAACTCCATTGTGAACTGAATTTTAGAATTTATAGATTTAAGATGGTCTAAAAATTCAGTTACTTTATCTAAAGGTAGAATTGAGAAAGTGTCGTCTACGTACCGCTTTTAGAACCTTGGATTTATGGGAGAACTAAGCAGGGCTTTCTCCTCAAAGTCTTCCATGAATACGTCGGCGACAATGGGAGATACAGGTGAGCCCATCAATTGTAACTAGAAGGTTGGAAGAAAACAACATGCCCGTAGAATATGCAGTATTACTCAGACACTGCCTTACATCTGGCTACCTATTGTGGAAGGAGGAGTTCTACAAGCAAGTAGATGGGATATTATTATCGAGATAGTAAAGCGAATATAATATAATAATTATTATATAACAATTAATATAATAAGACGAGAAAATAATATAGAGAAATTTCGGCTGATAGGCATTTAAATAAAAATCTAGACCATGATTAATTAATTGAAATTAAACATAGGCACATTATTGCATGTAATTTAATATAACCTAAGTTACAAGAAAGAAAGAAGTGTTTAGCATCATTAGGTTTTAAATAGAATGATGAATTGCAAATGCATTAATGGCCTACAGCGGTACATAAAATATCAATCTGGGAAAATATAAAACTTACATACTTCACTAATTTAAACAGTGGTAATTAAACTATTAAAAATAATTATAGGAAATAATTTTCTATTGTAAGATAATATAATAAAGTTATGACAAGTTAAAAATAAGTAATATGTGAAGTAATAATTAAAAAATAAAATCAAGATGGATTTATTCAGTAAAAGTAAGTATAGTATCATTCATACTTATCATGTTATTATTATCACCTTCATAACTAAAACTAGATATGGTAAAAGCACAATAGAGTTATGCTGACAGATGTATACACTGATTGCCAAAATATGTTAGCAACAAAATAAATTGTTGTAGTAAGGGGGAATTATGTAAAAATACTGATATAAATAGTGACTAGATATATTGTGCATAACCCATTTTGGTTGCTATTAGTAAAATGAGGGTAATAATGTTGTGCTTAAATTCTTATTATGTATAATAATGTATATATAACATTATGTAATGTATATTCAGTGGTAAATTTCTGACCTTAGATATTAGTTAATAATATTACAAAAAAAAAACATTAAACGCATAAAACCGTTTGAAATATAAATTGACACTTCTCAACTGGATGGAGAGAAACCAATGGAATGAGAAAAATTTGGGTTTTAGTCCTTCATTGAGAGTAAATTTGATATGTATTGCGGGTGCGCAGCACAGCCAGTAATATACTAGCCTCGCTACTAAACGGTTGCTTCCTTTGTTCAATACATCTCACTGGCGACGAGTTTTGTACATACCTACGCTTAAAAAAAATAAAAAAATATGTCGTATTTACGCAATTTGCCTGTTTTCGATCACAAAACAAGTGAATGGTCAATATTTTATGGGAAATTAACACAGTTCCTAAGGATAAATAATGTGACAAAAGAAGAAATTAAGAGTGGTATCCTGCTTACTCATCTCACCGATGAAACCTACCGCTTAGTACGTAACTTAGCGTACCCTAACACGGTGAAATCGTTAACTTACAACGAGCTAGTTCAAATACTCAACAGCCATTTCAAACCAAAGCAGTGCTCCTTCGTAGATAAGGCCAACTTTTTTGGAGCGACTAGAAGTCCAGGAGAATCACTGGGAGACTGGGTGGCGCGATTAAGAGGACTAGCAAGCTATTGCGAATTTGGCGACGCCCTAGAAACGAATCTGAGAGATCGTTTTGTCCTAGGCCTGGGCTCTGGCCCGGAACGCGACAAGCTGTTTGAGCAGAACCCGACAACACTTACGCTAACTAAGGCGATTGAAATAGGGGAACAAGCTGCTTGCGCAAGAGAGGTAAATGTGATGCTGAATACGAGCGATTTTGGGCTCATCAAGGAAGAGCCTGTGTATCGTGCAAAAATTCACCAGTTCGCTCGGGGAAGCGGAGGTGACGGCAGTGGCAATGACAGTGTCGGCGCTAGGACATCGCGACGCGAAACTGGCTCCTGTTCATTTTGTGGTATGAAAAATCACTACAGTGATAAATTCCGGTACAAAAGTTATAAGTGTCAAAAGTGCGGTATAAAAGGGCATTTTAAGAAAGTTTGTGCTAAAAATAAAAATAACTCGTGTGCTTTTCACATTCAATCAGAACAGAAATGCGGCGCTAATGAGGTCAAGGACACAGGTTGCGTAGAATGCCAGAACTTTAACTTAAGGTACGTTGATGATAAACCAATTGAAATAAATTTAATTTTAGGCAATCACAACTTAACAATGGAACTAGATTCAGCTCGAGCAGCTGTGTAATTTCTGAAAAATTGTATGCTGAAAAGTTTTCCGATTATCATTTAAATAACAGCAATATAAAAATGTGTCTGTATAATGGGCATAAAATCTCTCCACTTGGATATTTCTGGGTTGAAGCTTGATAAATTAAAGTTAAACACAAAATAAAAATTTATGTTGTTAAAAATGGGGGCCCTCCCCTGCTGGGTAGAGATTTTATGTCCGCGTTTAATTTAATTATAACAACTAACATAATGTCTATGTGTATTGATAAGAATGTTCATTTCCTCCAGGAATTACCGGTATTTGATGGAGACCCGGGTGAATGGATAGTTTTCAAAACGGTGTTTGAAGACACGAGAAGCCAATTTTCAGGGGTGCAGAATGTCGCACGCCTTAGGAGGGCATTAAAGGGCACCGCTAAGGAAGCAGTTAAGTCGTTGTTGTTTACTTTGTGTGAACCTGAAGAAATAATGAACGCTCTCGAAAGAAGATTCGGTAGGGTTGAGATGCTCATTTTAGCCGAAATCGAGAATGTAAAGCGTATGCCAAGATTGGCGGAAGATTGCCGGAATATAGGATCTTTTGCAAGTCGCATTACGAACGTGGTTGCTGTAATACAAGCATTGAATCAACCACAGTATTTATACTCACCGGAGTTAGTAAACCGCATAGTCGAGAAACTTGGAACTATGATTAAATTTAAATGGTTTGAATATCGAGCTCAGCATCCTTTGGAGCCAGAGTTACAGAAGATGACCAAGTTTTTAAATTTATTGAGTGAACAATTTGGAACGTCCTTAAGCAATGAAAATGTGCCTGAAAAACGGAAGCGTCCTGAATTCAGGAAGCAAACTGTACACACCACAAACGGGTCTGCACGCAACCGTTTCAAGAGCGAGCGCTATGAGCGCCAAAGTAATACGAGCGAACGTCTAGAACGCCGAAATAATAAAGGGCACAACCGACAAGTGGTTATGATAACCCAGGATAAGCCTGTAAGTCGGGTAACACATAAGTGTGTTATATGTAACAAGGAGCACTCTATAGTGAGTTGTTACAAATTTAAGGATATGAATAATCGCGAGAAATGGGAAGCGGTTAAAAAAGCGAAAGTATGTTTTCAATGTTTGTCACCTAACCATATGAGGTTAGAGTGCAAAGGGAAAAAATGTGGTGTAAAGGGATGTAGAATGTCACATCATCAAATGCTACACCGATACCCCAATGAAAATACCTCGCCACAAGGGGACGAGGGGGGTAAAGAGGCTCAAATTACAACTGTTAGTACAGTGAATGCACTGGCATATGCATACTTAATGATTATAACGGTCGAGTTGTATGGACCTAGAGGAAAGGTCAAGACAACAGCTCTTCTGGATGAGGGATCGACCATGACACTCATAGAGGAGTGGATGGCTCAGAAGTTAGCGCCTCGCGGACGTAAAAAAGAATTACGTATTGAAGCCGTGGGAGGTAAGCGAATTAACGACGACAGTTCGTATCGCTTAAACGTTAAGATAAAAGGCATTTACTCGAACGACTTAGAAGAGATAAGTGTACAAACAATTAAGTCACTTAACCTTTCTCCGCAGTCAGGGAATCGAGAATTATTGCAACGGTGTTCTCATTTGACCCCGATTAAGGACGAGTTGATTTATGAGAGGTCCAGACCTACCATATTAATTGGCCAGGACAATTGGCATCTCATAGTCTCAGTGAATTAATTTCAGGAGGTAAGAACCTACCTGTAGCGTCGCTCACCAAACTTGGATGGGTTTTATATGGTCACATATCGGGTGGCATCAAACCAATCAAGATTGTTAACCACGTTTCCACCAAGAAGGAGGAGGACATCGATAAGTTGATCAAAGATTATTTTAGTTTGGAATTTCTGGGAGTGTCTGCGCGAAAGCCCATGAACGACCCAGAAGAACGGGCTTTAAATATTTTGAGCAAAACGGTACATCGTACACCTAATAATAGGTACGAGACTGCTTTGTTATGGCGCACAGATAATGAGTGCATGCCGTCGAATAGAGCGCAGGTTGAAAGTCGCCTGTTTAATATCGAAAAGAAGCTCGATAAAAATAGCGAGTTGAAAAAAGAATATGAGAAGCAAATTGAAAATCTCATCGTTAACGGTTACGCAGAGAAAGCGAACCATATTTCCATTTCCCCGCGCACGTGGTATCTTCCTCACTTCGCAGTGACTCATCCAGAAAAAAAGGAAATAAGAATAGTTTTCGACGCCGCCGCTAGGACTGGCGGACGTTGTCTTAATGATGCATTGTTAACCGGACCGGACTTATTGAAGTCGTTATTTGGCGTTCTGCTACGATTCAGAGAAGGAAGCGTGGCAGTAATGGCAGACATTAAAGAAATATTCCTGCAAGTGAAAATCCGGGAAGAAGACAGGGTTGGCTTCGATTCTTATGGCGGCACAAGCGTGACGCGCCTCCGGAACTGTATAGAATGACGTCACTAATATTTAGAGCGGCATCGTCACCATGCATCGCTATGTATGTGAAGAATAGGAATGCGCAGGATAACGCACATATCTATCCAGAAGCAGCTTCCGCTACGGAAAGCAATTTTTATATGGATGACTATCTACAGGCATTTCCCGACGTGACGACGGCTGAATGGATAGTAAACGGTATGTATGAATTACATAAACGTGCTTCTTTCCAACTGAGGGGATGGGCTAGCAACCGACCCGAAGTTTTATGTAAAATATAAAATAAATATAAGAGCGACAGTGCTTCACTGGGAGATAAGGAGCACACAGAACGCACTTTAGGTTTGATCTGGAATATCAAACGGGATATAATAAGTTTCTCCATAAGTTCGTAACGGAAATGATGGAAGGTTTACGACCGCCTACGAAGAGGGAGATAACTAGTGCTGTGATGTCGGTCTTCGATCCTTTGGGACTCGCATCACCCATAACGATTCAAGGGAAGTCGCTGATCAAGCAAGTATGGAGGACAGGCATCTCTTGGGATGAAGAAGTTACACACGAATTACACGTAATATTTTGTAAATGGATATCGGAAGTGAAGAATTTAGAAGTCCCTAGACCCGTTCCTGAAGGCGTCGGCAAGGGAGTAGAAACAGGTGAAGAAAAATCGCCAAAAGGCGTAAATGCGCTGAGAAAGCAAGTTAAGTCAACCGGCTACGGACGATTTAGCAGCTTTAAGAAATTCTTTGGGGCAACTACACGCACTTTACAAGCGGTAGAAAAATTCAAGAGTTTAAGAAAGTCGGTTAAAGGACCCGACAACGCAGCCGAAAAGTCGGTTATGTGTTCCAACGAAGTTTTAGCAAAGTCGGTTAAAGGACCCGATGGCGCGTTGGATATATAACACATTGGTTACATAGCGCTCTTGAAAAAAGCTGAATTATTAATTTGGAAGTTCGTGCAAGACGAGTGTTTTCATTTGGAAATAAAATGCTTGAAAGCAGGCAAAAGCGTTGAAAGAAGTTCACGCTTAAGTAAATTATCTATGGAAATAGGAGAAGATAACTTACTCCGTTTAAATGGGCGTTTACCTTTTAAGTCTAATTTGACCGAGGAAAGTAGAAAACCTGTCGTATTAGACGGTAAACACGAAATCGTAAAAATGATGATTAGAGAAGTTCATCATCATTTTGGACATGCCAATCACCAGACGGTGATGAATGAGGTGAACCAAAAATTTTATGTCTTGAACCTGCGTAATGTAGTACAAAGTGTGTCACATCATTGTCAGTGGTGCAGGACATACAGGTCAAAACCGCAGAACGTGCCACAAGGAAATATTCCTCTGGAGAGAATAGCTCACAATGAATCACCTTTTACATGCTCAGCCGTAGATTATTTCGGACCTATGAGTGTGACTATAGGAAGGCGACACGAAAAACGTTGGGGTGTTTTATTCACGTGTCTGACCATCAGAGCAGTACACCAAGAATTAGCAGCCTCATTGACACCAGCGTCAATGATAATGGCATTGAGGCGATTTATCGCCAGAAGAGGAAAACCAGCCGTTATACACAGCGATAACGGGACAAATTTCAAAGCTGCGAATAAAGAATTATTGAAAGCATGCGAAGAATGAGGGCATGAAAAATGAGTCATTTAAAAAATATATTAAATGGAAATTTATACCTCCGGGAGCACCGTACATGGGTGGCGCCTGGGAAAGGTTAGTAAGATCAATTAAAATTGCGTTGACCGCTACGCTCAAAGAAAGGAGCCGCGAGAGGAGGTTCTGCATATGTTGCTTTTGGAAGCAGAGCATACTGTAAATTCAAGACCTCTGGTAACATTCAGTATGGACAGTCCTGAAGAGGGTTTGACACCCAATCATTTTATTCTGGGACGCTCATGTGGTGATCGACCACCTGGATTATTTTAGAGCAACATCTGACGGGTCAACTCAATTGGAAATCTACACAAAGGTTAGCCGACCATTTTTGGACAAGATGGCTAAAAGAATACATGTCTACTTTAATACCTCTAACAGGTAATAACAGAAAGTTTATGAGAAATTATGGAGCCTAAAGAAGGTGATATTGTCTTGATAATAGATCATTCAATGCCACGAAATACGTGGCCGAAAGGCAAGATTTGTAGGACGCTATCGGGACCAGACGGTCACACTAGAGTGGTTGACGTCATTACTAGCACAGGTATCTTGAGGAGACCTACATCCAGAATAATAGTCCTGGTACCCGCGACGCCTCCCAAATGATGGTGCTGATGCACGGGGGGGGGGGAGATTGTAGGCGACGCGCCTATAAGAATATTTCAATTTATTAGTTAACCGATTACGAATAGCTTTTAAAAAGCAAATTATCAAGCAACAATATTCCGATAAGAAAATACTTAGTTGAATCTTAAAGAAATATCAAATTAATGATATGAAGGTCTTGGGTTCAACTCCCAGGCCGGAATAGTTTATCGTTTTCTTAGTAATATCTCTTAATAAATTCACATAGGGAATTTTTAAGATATAAATTATGTTACCGGATTT